CTGCCTGAGAACTGCACTCGGTCACATCTCTTGCAGAGCTCGGCGCTGGCTGTTGTCTCTCATCCTCTCCATCCTCATGCCCTACAGTCGTCTCCTCTCTCTCTCTTCTCTCCCTTCCTACGTTGTCCGACACGTGCTCATCCAGTTCCCGCCATCTCGCCACGTTGGTATGCGAGGTGGATTTGCTCATCGACGTCCCAACCGACACCCATTATAGATTTTGACCTCGTTATCCGTATGATCAGTCATTCTTTGTCTCAATACCGTACGGGCTCAATCTGAGTTGTCTGAGCTCTTCTCCCGTGACTCGGTGACCAAGGCATCCACGCATCTTTCTCTACCGCCCGCAGGCTAATCGGTTTACCGGCGACCAACAAGCAGGCCTTGGACATGGGACCAACTCCCCGTACGCCCCGGTCCCGTCGAATCCGGGGGCTGACCAGACTAGCCCACCCCTTTGACAGTCCAGCCGACTCGGGCTACGGTTCCTCTGAGTGCTCTTCGCCGGAGAAGAGAGCCCACCATGATGATGTCCCAGAAGTCCCTCCACACTGTCTCAACTACGACTTTGTGTGTGACGGCTCTGGATCTTCAGATAAGCACGAGTCTGATCACGAGTCTGATAAAGAGCCTGGTAAAGAGCCTGAGGTCGAACCCACGCCCACGAGAAGACAGACTCGATCCAGATTGCGTACCAGCATCCCCGCAAACTTTCACTCCAACAAAGTGGTCCGGCCAAAACCGAATCGACAATATACAAAAGGGTCTCTGAACCTGCCAGACCGCTTCATACCACGATGGACAGCGTCCGCACCCATCTCTATCACGTACCGTACCTCCAAGCCCGTCGATGACTTGACAGCCTCCGAGAGGCTCTTGCGAAACCATCATGCCTCTCCTGACGTCTTTCTGCACCGAGCGACCGCCACTGCCCCCCCTTTGGCCTCAGACTTCCGCAACGTCTCCCGCATGGAAGAGGCGCCAAGTAGGAGATTTCAGGGCCTGCCCCACAACCGAAGCGGCTCGCTAATAGCCACCCAAGTAGGAACAACAATCGTCCCTATGCCGGAGAACCGACGCATCTTCAGTACGAGACAGCTTAGCCACGGTACAATCTAGGCTATCGGTGGCGTGGCTCCCAGTGGCACGGCCATCGACAGTGGCCGTGGCCACCTCATTCGAACTGGTACCAGCGCTCGATTTCACTATCATGCATTTCCGGGTCTGAAGAATTCGACATATCCGAGAGACGTTGAACAACATGAAGCTCGCCTTGCATATGCCCTGAACATTGATCAGGCGTCAAAGATTTTCGGTTTCAGTGACAACCTGCTCAAGCCCCCACACACTAGGCAGACAATAGGGCACAAAAGAAAAACGACGTGGAACGGTACAGAATGGATTGAACCACATCACTCTGGGAGTAGGTTAGCTTCCCATTTTTCTCGGACTACCAGACTGACCATACTCGGAGCAGGAGCACGAGCTACTCGAGTTGAGCGCAGGTTGCCTTCAGCACCGTTCCGTGTGCTTGACGCCCCCGAGCTCCGCGATGACTACTACTGCTCGACGCTGGCCTACTCGGGGACTTGGAACGTCCTTGCGGTAGGGCTGGGAGGCACGCTGTACTCATGGTCTAGTCGTCACGGAGTCATGCCCGTGGTGCGTGGGCCTGACTCGCCCTGGCTGACTTCGGTTTCTTTCTCCTCGGAAGAGGGAGGGAAAGGAATACTTGCCTACAGTCGATCGAGTGGCTACTTTGCCCTGACGTCTCTTAATAGTCACCTTCCGCGCTTCGAGATGACGCACCCGTTCCCGATCTGCTGTGTCAGCTAGCGGCCGACGTGTACAATGCGGCTGTCGAAGCATCCCACGAACCCGCCACGGAAGGTCTCCACTGAGGACTTGATTGTAGGCGACGTCTTGGGGCATATCTACTACTACGTTGTGGAGTGGCCTGAAGCGTGGGAAGTGGCCCGCGACGACTGGCCTGGTTCCATTACGCTGGTAGCTAAGATTTCTGCCCATGCTTTGCAGATTTGCGCATTAGTCTGGTCCCCCAACGGTCAAGTCTTTGCGACTGGTGCCAATGACAACTATTGCTGCTTGTTCGAGGTCAACAAGATCCTACGACCACAACGACACCAGGGTTCAGTCTCGCCGACGGTACGGAAGCGGACGCAGTCATCGGAAAGCATCGGCAGTGAGTTGTATGACATGCTAATACAAAAATGAAAGGAAGGGATGAAAGAGGCATTTCAACTGCTAGTGGACGGTACCAGCATCCGGACCGTCCGAACCTCGCCTGATAAGGTGCCGCAGTTCGGACCCGGTTCAGAGACGCATCGCTGGATCCACAGCGCCGCCGTCAAGGCGATTGCCTTTTGTCCATGGCAGGACGGCCTCGTTGCGACAGGGGGCGGCTCCAATGACCGATGCATACACTTCTTCCACACCAAGACCGGCACAGCTCTTGCAACTATTGCATGTGCGGCGCAGGTGACATCACTTATATGGTCCACGAACCGGCGTGAGATTGCTGCCACTTTTGGCTATTCACAGCCCGAACACCTGTTTCGTATTGCCGTGTTCAGTTGGCCCTCGTGCGAGATGGTCGACGTGGTTAAGTGGGAAAAGGGCCACAGAGCACTCAGCGCCATTGCGTACCCTGGCGGCCCCAAGGGACTGTGTCGTGGCCGAGCAAGAGAGCGCCCAGCAGAGGAAGGCGGTATTGTAGTGGCATCAAGCGACAATACGATCAAGTTTCACGAAGTCTGGCAAGCGGAGAGGAGGGTCATGGTGGGAGGCAAGGGAATGCTAGGAGGAAGCGATATCCTCGAGGGACTTGAGGGCATGTACAAAGAGGGAGATATCATTCGCTAAGGGGTCATGAAGTCGCGTCTCTTTGATCAGATATTCTTTACAGCGCACGCGTACTGAGCCTTGGATGGAGGAGCAAGCTTGTTAGGAGTATGAATGATATGGTGTATTCGTACCTGCTCAACCGCGCTTCCTCGACGTTTTGTCCTTTTTGAAATGCATGACACGGCAAGCGTTCACTAGCACATATACACGGGCAAACAGGAGGCAAGAGTGCAGAGGGTACTTAAGTATAAATTTCTGAAAACTGGCCGCCAACGAGGAAGGTGGGCTGCCTGGCTAGGAGCCCAGATCAAACCTCGTTGGTGGGGTGGAGTTTGTTGTGGTATTAATATAGATTCACCTCGTAGGCACCACGTTCAATTCCCGCCAGCGCCTATTCCAGAACAATTAAATGCCCGACAACGATGATTCACTGCGACGCTGATTCACCGCAGCCGACGCTGACTCACCGCGACCGATGCAGACTCACCGCAGCCGAGACGTAGACTCACCGCGACTGACGACAAGAGATGTAGGTTGGGGCAACAGACGCTGGGGGCCCCTTCCGAACTCTTTTGTATTTCGACCCTGCTGCGAAAGAAGCAACATGTTTCACGGCGGGAACAGTATGATGTACAATGTTGGCCGATCCTCGCGCTCTGGCGAAAAACAGCCTGCCATGTTGCTACCCTGTTTTTTTGAGATGCTGAAAAATGGCCGACTGGGCTGTGTGATATCAAAAAACCCCCTAAAAAAAATCAAAAACCGGAAAATCCCCAGGGGTTTGCCCCGGGACTCCCTACCCCTTCTTTTTTTAGGGGGTTTTTGGGGGGGGTAAAGATAGGGGGGGGGGGGGGTTACGTTTGTGCTGCGTATGGGGCCAGAAAACCAGGAGGATTCCAGAACAAGGCCTGCCGCAAGACATGGAAAGAAGGGTGCTGGTGTTATTCCAAAAACGAATAAAAGAAACGAAAAAAAAAAACAATTCGAGTTTGAAAAAAGGGGCCCATGCGAAAGCCTGCTCTCGTCTCTCGCTCTCAGGCGCGCAACGCATACCATCTGCGTCCAGCGCCGTCCTCCCACGTTTCCCCGTTCCCGCGCATTACGTTTCGGCTCTTTGACAATCAATTCATACAAGACGAGGGAAGACTTCGTCTCTCTTGTCGTAGTATCCAGCACGTCCTCCCCCGTTCATTTCAGCACGGCAATGAGCAGGACGAGGATGATGATGAGGGCGATAATGGTCATCATCTGCTTGCTCTCGCCGGCCGAGCGCGCGACCTTGTTGAGGTTGCGGCGGGCGCGGTCGAGGCGGCCCTGATGGCGGTCGGTGGCGGCGTCGACGTCGTCGAGCATGGCGACGTGCGAGTCGAGCTCGTCGCCGATCTGCATGCTGAGCTCGCGCTGGCGGCCGATGCTCTCGCCGAGGCGGTCGAGGTGGTCGTCCTGCTCGCGCAGCACGCGCGCGTGGTAGGCGTGGATCTGCTGGTTGTCGAGGCCGGCGCCGGCGGTGGCGTCGCGGTGCTCCGTCTCGGACGGCTCGTCGCGGTAGGGGCCGAAGAGCTCGGCCGTCAGCGCCGGGTCGGCGGCCGAGGGGGATGGCGCCGAGTCGGTGAAGCGGACCGTCTTGGGGATCGTCGAGGAGCTCGAGGGCGAGCGGAGCGTTGTCTTGCGCGGCGGCCCCGCCGTCGCCGACTGGGCGTGGGCAAAGTCGGGCGAGAGGGAGGGGTCGTTGGGCTGCGTGAGCGTCGACGTGGTTTCTGGCGTCGGGAAGCCGTGGAACTGGGACGTCAGGTCGGAGTACTGCTTCTGCAGGGCGGGCAGGGCATCGGCGATGGAATGGGCGCCGCTGGGATGTTTCGTCAGTTCCGGGCCCCCGGGAGGTTTCCCTTCGGGGCAGAAGGGGAGAGGGAGGTGGTGGTGGTGGTGATGGTGGTGGTGGAGGGGGCACGGAAGTGGGACGGAGCTCACCTGGCATCACCGGATTCTGTCTGTCGCCTCTGCTCCTCCTGCAGCGCCTCTAGCCCATCACGAAACTGGTCGAGGGAGCGCGAGATGTGGCCTTCCTGGGAATCGTCGTCAAGGTTGAGAGACTTGGCGCGCTGGCGCTCCAGCAAGGAGAGCTTAATGTGATCGGCGAGAAGGAAGAGCTGGTTCGGTTTCGACATGGTGACAGTGACTTGGCTTGGGAGCACGATGCCGGTGGTTGGGAAACAAGGTAATGACGGCAGCGATCGATGATTTGGATATTTGGATGTGTCGTGGTTCGGCCAGGCAATCATGCCAGGCGGGAGAGTTCATGCGAGTGGAAGCACAACGTCGTGAGTGGATTACGTGGGAGTGGGGACGAGTCAAGTCGTGCAGGGATCGGCGGCCCGGATGCCCCCCCGCCGCCACGGCCTAGACCTTCGGACCCGGCTCTCTGCTTCGACAATCGAACTTCACATTCGTGGCAAAGAAGTGCATTCTCATACGATGGCGGACAGAGACGGGACATGGATTACCACAACAAGACGTCTGCACCACGGCACTGCCTACTTGCAGCCTGCCCTCCACACAGCAAAAAGTAGAAGCATGCGCAGGCAGCGTGAATGACTTGTATCTCAACCAAATGACGCTCTCTTGGTATCTTTCAAGGATGCCCCCCTCGGAGACAACCCGACCTCCATCGTCTGCCTGTCCGCTTTGCCGCCTTCTGTACACATTACGGTTACCAAAATCCTCCGCATGATTGTGCCGCCGCTCCCTCTTTTTTTTCTCTCTCCCTTTTTTTTTTGGGAAGGAAAAACAAAACGGGGAGAATGCTCGCGGCCCAGACGCCATGCTATGCCCTCGATCTGCGCGCCACCTGTGTTCGCAGGTCCTGCTTGGCTGTGTATTTCGCTTGTTGTATATTCGAGTGCGGCATCCAAACCCTGTTGCCGCTGTTGCCTCTCCAAACCCCCCTTTACTCCAGACCCAGCATGCGTTTGGAGTTTTCGTACATGACCCAGGTTATGCTGAGGGCGGGCGCAACCTTGAGGAGGTTCGGCGTCAGACCCTTGTACATGCCCCGCATGCCTTCGTTCTTCAGCGTCTTCTGCGCCACGTCCCATATGCCCGTATACGTCGCCGGGTGCATGGCCGTGCCCTGCGTCTGCAGGCGCGTGCGCAGGACGTTGAGCGGATAGACGACCGTGGCGCCGAACGCGCCGCTCGTCGCGCCAATGATGCCCGTGACAATGTTGCCCGGCTTGGCGTCCTCTTCGTGGATGCCCTGGTACTGGGCGGCGTACTTTTTGTACGACGTCTTGAGGAGCTCGAACGTGCCCATGTCGATGGCGCTGTACGGGAACATGCCGATCAGGCCCATGGTGACGCCGCGGTAGGCGGAGCGGAAGCCGCCTGCGAGCCACATCTTCTTGGCCGTGTCAATGACGAGAGCGTTGCCTGTCAGGCCGCCCTGGACAGTGGATGTCTGAAGTCTGCAAGGCTGTCAGGAGGATGTGGGACAAGGCGCATCGAGAGGGGGGTTGGCCATACCTGAACTTTAGGGTATCAAGGGGGTAGACGCAGAATCTAGCATGTTGTTAGACAGAAGACTCCGTGTTCGTTGTAGCTTCTCGGTGACTTACTGTGCGACCATGCCGGCAATGCCGCCCGCCGTGAATTTGGAGTAGGAGTTGATCCTCTTGGGGTCGTCATGGCCCTCGAGCTTAGCGAGGGCCCTCTTGGCGGCTTCGTAGGACCCAAACTAGGCGCATGTCAGACGGGCAAAGAACAACAGGATTGACAGGGGGGGGGGGGAAGACAGACCTTGATTGCGCTTTCAGGCATAATTTTGATCACGTTGAGTCCGTTGCCTACGGCCAGTCAGCATCTACGTGTGGCGCATGCACGAGGTGCGGACCAACGTACCAGCAAACAAGCTGCGCATGCCACCGGCCTGCCAAAGATCACGAAAGGCATCGCCAAAGGGCTTGCCGGCATTGGCCAGGGCGACGAGGGGCCGCCCCTGCTTGAGGGCCGCGAGGGCCGTGTCGGCGCTCGACTTTGTGTTGACGAGCAGGTAGACCTTGAGACGGTCAAGGGGCGCCGTGGCGTCTTCGTAAAGACACCGCCAGCGACGGCACCGGCAAGGAAGGGGGCTGGATCAGGGATGTAACTCGTCAGTTTTGTTTTCTTCTGGCGCCCCTGAGAGCCTTGGTCCGTTGTGGTCGTCGTCTGGATTGCCTCCTGGCCGATGCGGAGGGATTTTTTTTTTGTTTGGCGCGCTCTTTGGCGTGAGCGGCGTCTAGAGCCGTGTCTTCCGACTGGAGCACGCTCG